TGCTGATTACTCTGGGAGTGAGAGTCACTTGATAAATTATGCTCCGCTTTTAAATGTTCTTCTTGTTGGAATATCATCTGTGGATTGCGTGCAGATTTTATCCTTACATGGTTTGGTGGGTTGAATTTTAACAGCAGTTCTTTACTGACTTGTGTCTGTATGTGTAATGCATGCCTTTTGCTGACTGGTGCCCCTGTATCCTTTCACACATAAAGAAAAGAAAATTTATCAAGTTCTTGAAGAATTTAATGAAGAGTTTGTCACAATGGAATATGGAGGGTTCCAATATGCGTGAAAACTAAGAAATTGTGCCTTTTTGATTCTGTGAACTAATAAATCATGGGTGGAGATCCATACGCATAGAAGAGAAAGTCAATGAAAAAAATTAACAGAAAAAAATTAAAGCAAAAGGTTAATAGAAATTAAAGTGAAGAATCAAACTGTGGAAATAAATGGAAAATTTGTGTCCTTTATGCTGTCTGTGAACTGATGTTCAACATCTATTGCCAGGTTCCACTACTTGCTGGTGCATTGATGCCCATCTGTGAGGCCTTTGGCTCTGCTGTTCCCGAGGTCTCATGGGCGCTTCCAACAGGTGAAGAACTTTCTTGTCATGCGGTTTTTTCTAATGCCTTTACACTTCTTCTGAGATTGTGGAGATTTGATCATCCACCTATTGATCATGTGATGGGAGACGTACCACCAGTGGGATCCCATCTAAGCCCTGAATACCTTTTGCTTGTAAGGAATTCCCTATTAGCATCTCCTGGAACTTCGACCAGGCGTCAACTCAGACGTAGGAGATACTCAAAAATTTTGAGTCTGTCTGTAGAACCCATATTCATGGATTCTTTCCCAAAGTTGAAACTATGGTACAGGCAGCATCTGGAATGCATTGCTTCTACCTTTTCCGGTCTTGTACATGGAACCCCTGTTCATCAGATTGTTGATGCACTCCTCAATTTAATGTTCAGAAGGATAAATAGAGGTGTTCAGCCTTCGACTTCTACGAACTCTGGAAGTAGTCTTTCATCTGGCCCTGGTGCTGAAGATGCTCAAGCTAGGCTTAAAATACCTGCATGGGATATCTTAGAAGCAACCCCATTTGCCCTTGACGCTGCTCTGACAGCCTGTGCCCATGGAAGACTCTCTCCTCGTGAACTGGCTACAGGTTTGCACAATTTGCTCAAAGTTTCCTTCATCAATTAAGTCTATATGGTTTGAGACCAGTTGGCATGCGAGGAAGAAGTTGGTGCCTTAACAGAAAATATTGGGAGGACGTCAAGAATACTGTTTTGCCATGTGATTGAGATAAATGTGAACGAACTTTATAAGTAGGAGAGTAGGTGTTACTGGAGATCTTAGAATGGTTAAAATTTAGCCCTATTCTTTTAAAAACTAACACAATACTGTAATCACTGTGTGGCTATTGGGAATCTTAGGGCAGAGGATAGTATAGAGGGATTAAAGTTTCACATTATCTTAAATCATTAATCATCAAATGATTGTATTGTTGGTTTAGACGTGAAGAGGCTTAAAGTTTAATTGTACCAAAACTTCAAAACGTAAAAACCATTTTCCCTGATAACTATATGCTCAATTCTAATCTATTTACACCTGCACCTTTTATCATAGGGCTTAAGGATCTTGCCGATTTTCTACCAGCATCTTTGGCCACCATTGTAAGCTACTTGTCAGCTGAAGTTACACGAGGCATATGGAAGCCAGCTTCTATGAATGGAACTGATTGGCCGAGCCCAGCTGTCAATTTATCCTCTGTTGAGCAGCAGATAAAGAAAATACTGGCTGCCACTGGTGTTGATGTCCCAAGCCTTTCTGTAGGTAATTCTTTATCATACAGATTACTGTTCCCTTTTTTAAGGCTATAGGGTTTTCAGTTCTTGATAAATGAAAATTTTTCATGTATGTTTTTTTGAACGCATTGCTAGAACAAACCACAACAACCTGCATTTTGAAGATCAACAGATATAGTTGTACAGTTTTAGGTTTGGAAATATTCATCCTTTTGTTAGATTTCAACTTTCAAGTCCATTCTTGTGTTAGACCTAGAGATCTTCATATCATGATGAACCAGGAAGAATGAGTATGCATGAGTTGTGTTCAAATTTTGACAAGGGAATTTAATTTCTAGAAAAACAAAATTCATTAATGAGGCTCAATACTTGTTCCTGCAGGGGGTACATCTCTGGCTACACTTCCTTTGCCATTAGCTGCCCTAGTAAGCCTCACAATTACTTATAAATTGGACAAAATGTCTGAAAGGTTCCTCACCCTGGTTGGCCCCGCCTTGAATGCCCTTGCTGCTGGTTGTCCCTGGCCATGCATGCCCATTATAACCTCTCTATGGGCCCAGAAAGTTAAGCGTTGGAGTGACTACCTTGTGTTCTCTGCTTCGCGTACTGTGTTCCACCATAACAGCGATGCTGTAGTTCAGCTTCTGAAGAGCTGCTTCGCATCCACTCTTGGTTTGAGCCCCCCTCACATTTCCAGCAATGGTGGTGTGGGTGCCCTTTTAGGTCACGGGTTTGGCTCCCACTTATCTGGTGGAATCTCTGCTGTTGCCCCGGGAATTCTTTACTTACGAGTGCATCGATCTGTCAGAGATGTCATGTTCATGACAGAAGAAATTCTCTCTCTTCTAATGCACTCTGTCAGAGATATTGCAAGTAGTGCGTGGACTAGAGGTGCAATGGAGAAATTGAAGAAAAGAAAATATGGGATGCGATATGGGAAAGTTTCTCTTGCTGCAGCAATGACACGTGTCAAGCTTGCAGCTTCACTTGGATCTTCTTTAGTGTGGATATCTGGCGGATTAAATTTGGTTCAATCTTTGATTAATGAAACTTTACCCTCTTGGTTTATATCAGTACATGGATTGGAGCAGGAAGGTGGAGACTCTGGAGGTCTGGTTGCAAGGCTAAGGGGCTATGCACTTGCTTACTTTGCGCTATTTTGTGGGACATTTGCATGGGGTGTGGACTCAGAATCAGCATCATCAAAAAAACGGCCAACAGTGCTCAAAGCTCACTTAGAATTTCTGGCAAGTGCTCTAGAGGGGAAAATATCGCTTGGTTGTGATTGGGCTACTGCATGGGCATACGCATCTGGGTTTGTGTGCTTGATGGTGGCCTGCACACCAAAATGGGTGCCTGAGGTTGATGTGGATATATTGAAGAGGGTCAGCAAGGGGCTGAGGCAATGGAATGAAGAAGAACTGGCTGTAGCGTTACTAGGACTAGGTGGAGTTGGTACAATGGGTGCAGCTGCTGAACTGGTTATTGAAATTGGCTTGTAGTTTTGTCAAAAGCATGTAGCTTGAATGCTAACTATAGCATATCTCTGTGGTCTAGTGACAGGGTGGGTTCGGTCCCCGAACAATACTTGAAGTTACTACCATCTATAGTTATCTTTGTGTAAAGTCATAGCTCATGTATAAAAATACTCCTTTTCAAACAAGAAAGTAGTCGAGTTGTAGATTCGTCATCAGGGATAGCGGCCCCATGGCAAACATTAAATTAAATTGAAGTTAAAGAAAAAACTAAAAGGCACCATTTTATGGTGCATCGTGTAAGTTTTATTGTTTTTTGGGTGTGCTCTTTTTGCGATTGATTAATCTGAAACTATACCTGATTGTTTTGTCTTGCCTTTTTTGGCTACTCACAGTAAAAGCCGACTTTCAGTTATCTTCAATTTGGAAAAACTAAGTTATTATAAAAATTTTTCTAAGGTTTGATCATCTTTTTACTTTTTTTTTTTTTTTGAAAAAATTATATTTTACATTATAAATTTTATGCTCACATTAATAATTAATATTTTTTAAAAAAAAAACCAACAAAAAAAATCTGATTATTTATAGGATTGCTTATTTAATTTTAATAATAATACTACAACTTTGTAAAAAAAATTAAAAATCTCTAAGGACTTTTATCAAACAATATGAAAGTTGAATATAATTTCTCAACTTTTATATATATATATCAACCAATAAAACTCTTACAAATAAATCAAATTCGATTCTATAAGCAAACAACCACTTTTTTACATTATTAACATTAATGATATAAAGAAAATTATTATTTGGATACAAATTAAAGTATCAATTCCACAACCTTTTTACTCTTTACTTTAAAAAAAATTATATTTTACATCATAAACTTTATATTTATGTTAACAACTAATATTTTTTTTAAAAACCCAACAAAAATAAAAACCAATTATTTATTGGATTGCTATTATTTTTTATTTAATTTTAATACTAATACTATAACTTTGCCAAAAATTACAAAAATCTTTGAGGTTTTTTATAAAAAAAAATTAAAAACCAACCACAATTTCTCAATTTTTAGATACATATCAACTATGAAACCCTTATAAATGATGATTCCATGAGCAAATAACCACTCTTTTACATTATTAACATCAATTGTATAAATGACATCATCATTGAGATATAAATCAAAGCATCAATTTCATCTAATCCCTCTACTTTGGAAAAAAATATTTTATATCATGAACTTTATATTCACATTAACAATTAACATTTTAAAAAAAACCAACAAAAAATATCCAATTGTTTATAGGATTGTTATTATTTTTTATTTAATTATAATACTAATATTACAACTTTGCTAAAAAATAAAAAATCTTTAAGGACTTTCATTAAGCAATTTAAAAGTTGACCACAATTTCTAAACTTTTACATGCATATTAACCAACGAAGCCCTTACAAATAAATGAAATTCAATTCCACGAGTAAAGAACCACTCTTTAACATTATTAACATTAATGGTATAAATGACATCATTATTGGGATATAAATCAAAGTATCAATTTCACAATCTATACCATGTTTTTACTTTCTCTACTATGAAGAAAATTGTATTTTACATTATAAATTTTATACTCACTTTAACAATTAACATTTAAAAAAAAAACAAAAAAAATTGAATATTTATAGGATTGCTATTAATTTTTATTTAATTTTAATATTAACATTACAATTTTTAAAAAAATTAAAAAAATCTTTGAGGACTTTCATTAAACAATTTGAAAGTCGACTACAATTTCTCAACCTTTACATATATATCAACCAACGAAACCTTTACAAATGAATCAAAAAACCACTCTTTGATTCCATGAGTAAAAAAACTACTCTTTGATTCCATAAGCAAAGAACCAATTTTTAACATTATTAACATCAATAGTATAAAAGGCATCATTATTGGGATATAAATTAAAGCATCAATTTAACAACCTTTATTACCTAAACTTATAAAATAATTATATAGATAAAGTAGTCTTTAGCATGTTCTTGTAGCTTATCCAACAATCTGTCAAAAAGTAAGTTCATTACAAAAGTAAATACTAATCTAAATCATTAAGATCCAATAAAGAGTACCTTCAATTCCAGTATGGGTAATTCCTTGAGATTCAAATGTTTGTTTTAAGGTTAACAATGAAATTAGCAAATTTCATATTATAAAGGATGCTACTAGACTCTTTATAGAGATTTTATCAAATGAAAGAGGCACTATGATCTTTCGAAGAGACAAAGTAAGATAAGATAAAGATGGTGGATACTTAAGTTGTACCTAAAAAGGAGACGTATTTATTCTTGAATGGAAACTAGTATTATACCATCACTAAGCAATAGACAACTATTGATGCCATTTCTTCGGAGTATGTGTTGCTATAAACCTAAGGTAAGTTTCCAGATATTGATTTACACTTTTCATCTGACCATTAATTTGAAAATAGTAAGCAAAAATTATAAGTAAGTTAACTTTTAACTTCTTGAATAACTCTTTTCAAAAAAGATTTGTGAAAACTCTATTCTTGTCAGTCACAATAGTTGCCGATAACCATGAAGCCTATAGAGGTGATCTGAGAATACTATTACAATATTTTGAGTTGTTTAAAAATGAGAAATGATAATGAAATGTCTATACTTTGTAAATCTATCTACCACTACTTAGTGTAGTATTTTTGTCTTTTGACTTAGATAAACCTTCTATGAAGTCCATTATGATATCTCTCTATGATCCTTCTAAAATTGAAAGAGGTTGTAACAACTCTGGATATATTATTTTCCCCAACTTAGTCTGTTTACAAATATCATATTCTATCACCACTTTTTCCACCATTTTCTTCCTTTTAGGTAAATAAAACACAACCTTTAGTCTTCTATATGAATTCTGGATGTCAACATGCTCCTTAATATAAGAGTTATGAGCTTCCAATTACCAAACTTTATCACATTCATTCATCTATCGAAGTTGATAGGATTTATCATGCTTAACAATATATAGATTTAATTTCTTAACAAGTATAATACTAACAATATTAGCGCAACTTCCACAATCAATAATCATATTATATACTTTGTTATTAACGTGACATCTAATATGAAAGATGTTCTTTTTTTATTGCTCTTTTACCAATTTCATTACAATATCAACCTTTAAAAATTTCTTTTCTTTAACTTAAGAATTATCACCAACACTCTCATAATTTATTGTAGTCCTAATAGTAAGCATTTTAACTTCCTTTTGCTTACAACTAGAAACTCCTTGTCTACTAATCATCTTATCAAACTTATTCATTAACACCTCCATCATAAATTCTATTATATCATGCCTTTCTTCCACAATCCTTATATTTTTTTTTGTTCAACACTTTTTGAAGATATTGTTTATACTTGAAATAAAGGTTATAACCAATAATAATAAAAAAATTCTTAACACAAATCTCACATGTTTACTCTTACAATAAAATCCACTACTGTCATGTTTCCTGTAATGTTATTAGGCTTTTCACTCTAATAGTCTTGTTACGTCTTTTACCATCTATTTTTATACATTAATTCTTAAAAATAACTTAGTAACTTATCAAACAATTATTTAAACTACACAATAATTTGTTTTATGTTTAAAGACTCAAGAATCAACAATTACTTAAACTCACCAAGAATTTCTAAGAAAATGTTTCAATTAAACCTTAATTCATGCAAGATCTAAAAATTTTCAAATTTCTTCTCTAAGAAACCTTTCAAGATTTGTGATTTTGATTTTTTTTCTTTATTTTTATAAGTGTTGAATTCCCCAAATCACAAAAATAAATACAATTTGTTGTTTTGTATGCAATTTTTTTGACAACTTTCAAAACTTTCCCTTCATAATCGATTTTCTTTTTCCTTTTTTTTTAAAAAAATTGAACACTTAACAAGATTAATCAAGATTAAGTCTTTTTTTTTTGTATTAGCCGAAACCCTAAAGAGAAAGAAACTAAGAAAAAAAAAGAAGAAAACAAACCCTAGATATAGAAAGACATAAAGAAAACCATAGAATTACTTGTAGCAATGAAAATTAAAGAGATATAACTTGAAATTGCCCGTGCTTTGATACCAAATTGATCTGGAATTGTCCCTTAAATTATTAATTTGAGGCTTTGAAGAAAGTATGCAACTTGACTTAACAAGAGCTTTGAAGAGCAAAAGTTATATGCAATTGATCATCATCACCCTACCCTTCTAATGAAATGCGAACGAGAAGTATAAATCACATTGAAGTTGATCAATCTTTTGAAGAGTGTGCAATTTCAATAAAAAACTTAGTGTGTGAATCACTCAACAATAAAAAGAGAAAAAGACATAATTTGCTGCAATGTTATACAAAAAATCATCAACTAAATTAAAATCTTTACGTATAAGTATTTTTATATGTAAATTCTAAAACTAATGGGTCAGACATGTACTCTGACACGACTAAAAGATTGATGTCTTCTCCCAAGTGCAGGAGTGTCGAAGTAATAAATAACCCGGCAAGACCGGGGTCGAACCACAGGGAGGTTATTTGTACAAATTATAAATAACAATAATACAACAACAATAACAACAACAACAACAATAATAATAATAACAATAATAATAATAATAATAATAATAATAATAATAATAATACTAATAATAATAATAATAATAATAGTAGTAGTAGTAGTAGTAGTAGTAATAATAATAATAATAATAAAGAAAGAGAAGAAGAAGATGATGATGAGAACTTGGAGATGGAAAAGTAATGTAAGGATTAAACAATAATAATAACAAATGTCAAGGTTAGAGGTTCCACTAATGGTATATCAAACAAGTATAGTATAAACTCTTATTATTGAATTGGAAACCACACACAAAGGAGGTTCCAATCAGATTATATATTGTTAACATGATTACATTAGTCATCTTATTCAATTAATGCTAATTCTTGTAAATTTCGTCAAGCATTCATGATTATAACTTATGTTAACAACAAATCAAGTTCCTTTCATAGCTCAGGTGTCGGTTATACCATACATTATGGGCTATGAAAGTGCCAAGCATTTGTTGTACCAAGTGTTATACAACATAAATCAAGATTAGTCATTTAACAAGCAAAGTATTAAAGAGTGAACAAGATAACAAATATAAAACATGTTAGTATCAAACATTAAAGTCCATATTAAGTTTACACTATACTTATTCTTACACCATTAGTGTAACCTTTTCACCTTGACATAATTAACTTAGCTAGACATAATGAAATAAAGAAAAATAGATAAACAAAATAAGAACATAAAAGTTAACTAAGTAAAGGAAAGGAAATGAAAGGCATAAACTTAATATTAATGAAAACAAAGCATAAAAAATACAAAGAGAGAAAGGAAGAGCATGATCTTGATCTGGAAACCAAGATGCCTAAATGCATGGCAAATGTCTCCTTTTATAGGCCAAAATTGGGAACTATTGATTTGATGACTAATTGATAAGTGGGTGGCCAACTTTTGACTTGGTGACAATCCTTATCTTCTCTTGTCTGCCCAAAACGTCATTGATAACGTCAAAACTGGAGCCAGTTGCAAACATGAAAGTTGTAGGAAATTGTCTCAGATTTCGTGTGTAAAAAATTCAGCTCATTTGGACTTCTAGAACTCCAGATATGGCCAAAATACCGAACAGTACTCGGGCTGGAAGACAGATTCGGGCTTCTTTGTTGTTGCTACAATTTGGACTTGATAATGGCCTTTTTAGATCTTGGGCTCCATATGAAAGTTGTAGGCCTATGTCTTACCTTTCCATCCATATAAATTGGACCTAAATCTGAGATCTGTAGCTCCAGATATAACCCAATTACCGAACAGTGTTCCGGTTTGGATTGCACCGACATCTCTTCTCTAAGTTTGACCATCTCTTTATCCATGCAATTTAAGTTCTTCAAGTCATCAATCAATCCTTTCATTTATGTGATAGACCTGCATTAAAAATAGACATTTACCACAAATTATAGGTATCTTATCTTATTAGATACATTATTATAAAACATATTTTAGTTAAGGAGTTATTGATACTTCAAGTGCAAAATGATGATATAAAACCACGATAAAAACGCACTTTTAAGTACTAATCATACTCATTTTAAATAAAACCCAAACTAATTAAAATAAGATTTAAAATAATAATAAAAAATAGTCTAAGATTATTTTCCACCCTTTGCCACATATGATGGTGAAAAATACTTATAGAAATAATTGTTGAAGAATCCTTGATAAAGAAAACATGATGCCTTATAAAATAGGAATTAATTTTTTACCAATAAATTCTTTTTATTTGATATGAAATTCTTGTAAAATAAGTAAGTTAAAAGCTGCCACACAAGTTCTCAATAGCATTAAGGATTTCTTGTAATGAATGAAATCCATAGCTCTTAAGAAAATAATATTTTTTCTATTTTTGTATTTTGCTGGTAGATTCTAAGCTAACTTCAAACAAGTTGGTTTTTTTCTTTCTGGATGAATTAGCTGGTTTAGCATATATCATTGTAAAGATAAAAATATCTAGTTTCTAACCTAATTGGAATCACATCCAAAAATTCTATTGTAACTTCAAATATGACTTAAAAAGTAGATAAGATCCAAATTGATAAATTTGAACCTTTTTAATTCAAGTTTATTGGATTAACCCTTCTTTTCGTGAATTAGCTATCCTTTTATACTTTATAATAAACCCAATTGATACTCCTAATAAATTATTTAATGTTGTAGCTAGGATTGCATCAATATGTTTGACATTAATAAAAACAAGGCTACCTAACCAATTAGTTACAAGCCATGGTCACTAACAATATATTAACATGTGATGGATGATTTATCGATTAAGTGCACATTAGGGGTGATTATTTTCGGTTCGGTTTGATTTTTACCTGAAAAAACAGCCAAACAGGAAAAAAAAAAGAGACCCCAAACCGAATTAGAACCGGCACAAACCAACAAGTTCCAGTTCGATTTCGGTCTAGTTTTTTGGATAAAAAACCAGACAAACCTATAGGCTTATTTTGGCTTTTTAATAGGCTTTGTAATGGGCTTCTAATAGATTTATATTGGGCTTATAATTAATATTGATATTGTCTCATTTTCTTTGAAGATTCAAAATATATTTAATTTTTTTACCCCTAAATATTCAATTGTATTAAATTATTATTGTCAATTTTATGTTTATTAAATTTTTTGGCCAATGAAAATTCATTTATATGAAATTATTAATGTCAATCTAGTGTTCAATATATTTTTTAACTTACTAATATTTTTCTACTTTCAAAAGGTTTAAATAAATAACACACACTTACAATTACATATCAACAAGTTAAAATTCAAATTACAAACCATTGCCTTTAAAGGGCTTAATGAAAAAACAACAAATAACATTATCATAAAACACTCTAAGCCTCAAAAAATAAATCTTCATGTGCACATCGTCTCAATAAAAAAGCACTTCAAGAGCTTTGCATTTTGATTCCTGAAATTCATAATCTCGAATTATAACATGATAAATTAAATTAGAAGATATAAAAATAAAAAAAAGATATTTATACCATATATTTTCAATAAATGCATCACAATTTGTGAACTAATTATCATCCGTTGCTAAATGCAACTTTCCACAAAATTCTATAAAATAAAATATTAAACATGTTATAATAAAAATGTGTTAATTAATAAATCATAAAATAAAAGATGTAAGTTTTTAAGAAACATTACCTAATTCAAGGTTTTCGTAGGTTTCAAAATCATTTATCAAGGTTGTATTATCAGTTGGAATTGGATTATGATGCAACCAATTTTGACAACAAATAAGTGCTTGAACGCTACTGGAGATAGAGAAATTCAAAATTGGTCGAGTATACGACCACCTGTGCTAAAGGCTGATTTGGAAGCCACTATGGATATAGGAATAACTAGAACATGTCGTGCAACTTTTGAAAGTATCTTATATTTTAAAGCATTAATCTTCCACCAACCCAAAATATCTAATTTATCATCATTAGGATCTTCACAACCATCAACCAAATACCTCTCAACCTCATTTCTATTTTCCACACTATCTTCCTCCAGTAAGTACCTTTTGAACCGAGCTAAAGTGTTAACATATATCTCCATGTCATCAATAGCATCATTAACATCTTGTGTATGCCTATTATCATCCACTACTTCATCGGCTTTAAAATAAAACTCATACAAGCTCACCAAATTATCTCTCATTTTTTTTGTTAGCAATTGTGCTTTGTCATAATCATACAACTTACCAAAACAAAATTTCACATACTTTAACTTAAGACATGGATCCAAAACATTAGCCACATACAATAAAAAATTCTGATTTGCTTTACAACCCCAATACTTCTGAAACTTACTCATCATGTTCATTGCCATTCTACTCAAAAGATTATCTCTACTTTATCACAATTGCAACAAGTTTGCATGCATGTAAATCAATTCATTGAAGAAAGAATTTGATGTAACATGCAATGAGCCAAAAAATTTCAATGTAACCATGTAAAAGATCTTTAAAAACTTCAGCAAAGTTCTAGCAGTTTCCTAATCCTCCAAACAAGGTGGCCCTATGTTTTTTTTTTCTTTGAATCAACCTCCAAAAAGTAACTCACATATCTAGGTTCACTTTGACCTAATGATTAGTACTTAAAAGTGCATTTTCATCATGGTTTTATATCATTATTTTGCACTTGAAGTATCAATAACTCCTTAACTAAAGCATGTTTTATAATAATATATTTAATAATATAAGATACCTTTAATTTATGGTAAATGTTCATTTTAAATGCAGGCCTATCACATAAATGAAAGGATTGATTGATGACTTTAAGAATTGAAATTGAACGGACAAAGAGATGGCTAAACTTAGAAAGGAGATGCTGGTGTAATCCAAACCAGAACACTGTTCGGTAATTGGGTCATATCTGGAGTTATAGTTCTCCGATTTAAGTCCAATTTATATGGATGGAAAGGTAAGACATAGGTCTACAACTTTCATATAGAGCCCAAGATCTAAAAAGGCCATTTTCAAGTCCAAATTGTAGCAACAACAAAGAAGCTCGAATCTATCTTCTAGCCCGAGCACTGTTCAGTATTACACAAGAAAGTTGAGATAATTTCCTACAACTTTGATGTTTGCAAGTGGCTCCAATTTTGACGTTATCAATGATGTTTTGGGCAGAGAAGAGAAGATAAAGATTATCACCAAGTCAAGAGTTGGTCACCCACTCATCAATTAGTCAGCAAATCAATCATCAATTAGTCATCAAATCAATAGTTCCCAATTTTGGCCTATAAAATGAGGCATTTACCATGCATTTAGGCATCTTGGTCTCCAGATCAAGATCATGCTCTTGCTTTCTTTCTTTGTATTTTTTATAATGTTTATGCTTTGCTTTCATTAATATCAAGTTTATGCCTTTCATTTCCTTTCCTTTACTTAGTTAACTCTTATCTTATTTATGTTTTTATTTTGTTTATTTATTTTTTCTTTCATTATGTCTAGCTAAGTTTATTATGTCAAGGTGAAAAGGTTACACTAATGGTGTAAGAATAAGTATAGTGTAAACTTAATATGGATTTTAATGTTTGATACTAACATGTTTTGTATTTGTTATCTTGTTCACTCTTTAATACTTTACTTGTTAAATGACTAATCTTGATTTATGTTGTATAACACTTGGTACAACAAATGCTTGGCACTTTCATAGCCCATATTGTATAGTATAACCGACACCTGAGCTATGAAAGGAACTTGATTTGTTGTTAATATAAGTTATAATCATGAATGGCTGACGAGATTTACAAGTATTAGCATTAATTGAATAAGATGACTAATGTAATCATGTTAACAATCTATAATCTAATTAGAACCTCCTTTGTGTGTGGTTTCCAATTAACTAATAAGAGTTTATACTATACTTGTTTGACATACCATTAGTGGATCCTCTAACCTTGACATTTATTGTTACCGTTGTTAAATCTTTATGTTAATATTCCATCTCAAAGTTCTCATCTTCTTCTTCTTCTTTTTCTTTTTGTTTATTATTATTATTACTACTACTACTACTACTACTACTATTATTAGTACTATTATTTTATTATTATTGTTATTGTTGTTGTTGTTATTGTTGTTGTATTATTGTTATTTATAATTTGTACAATTAACCTCCCTGTGATTCGACCCCGGTCTTGTCGGGTTATTTATTACTTCGACACTTCTGCACTTAGGAGAAGACATCAATCTTTTAGTCGTGTCACCTAACCTTACAAACACCTTTTCAAAATTTTCAGCAGCTTCTAACATAAGATAAGTTGAATTCTATTGAGTTGCAACATCGAAACACAATGATTTCTGCACACTTCTTAAATGCAAGTAGCCTAGAGGGTGAAGATCTCACAAACCTAATTATATTTTGAATCTTAACAACCGAAACATTCATCTCTTTCAAACCATCACATACAATAAGGTTTATAATATGTGCACAACATCTAACATGCAAATGTTCATTTGACAATATATTAGTTGGCCAATCTTTCATCACATTATTTAAATATGAAATAGTAACACTATTAGAGCTTGTATTGTCTATTGTAATAGTTAAAAGTTTATCAATCCCTTAATCTAACAAACAATTCTCAATAACTTGACTAATTGTTTCATCCATATGATTGGAAACTTGACAAAAATTCAGAATTCTTTTATGCAAATTCCATTCATTATCAATCCAATGAGCCGTTAATGACAAATAGTTAATGTTATGGATTGATGTCCATGTATCTGTTGTGAAGCATAATCATTGACCCTTAAGAGCTCTATTTAATCTTTCCTCTCTTTAACATAAAGTTTCAAACAATCTCTCATAACAGTAAAACGAGAAGAAATGTTAAATCTAGGCTGTAAGGTCCTAAAAAATAATCTAAATCCCTTACCCTCCACAAAATTAAAAGGCAACTCATCAATTATAACCATTTTTACTAGTGCCTTTCTGTATTCATTATAATCATAACCTATTGCCTTAAGAGTTCCCACACTTCGATCTCCTAATTCACCCCCTATCTTATGAGGTTCTGATACCAATTTTTTTTGCTTCTTATCAACCACAAAAGGAAACTTTTTGCACACTTTCAAATGACTCCATATATTACTTGTCCCATTAATAATAGTATGACATGCATAATCCTTTCCACGATAATTACATTCAGCTCTAGGGGTTGTAGGATCACTATCAAGTTTTGTAAAATGATCCTAAATTTGTGACTTTTTTTTTATCAACATTTCTTTTTCTAGATGCAAGGACTTGAAGTTGTTTACCTTTATTTTATGTGGTGGATCCTGCAATAGTTGATGTTGGGTTGGTGTTTGAAGCTGAGGCATTAGTTGATGTTGGGGTAGTGCTAGTGGATGAAGAATTTTGATTTTGAAGGTTTTCCATTTGTAATTACCAAATGCAAATATGTTCATTATCACTTGCACAATTCTTTTCAGCATTTAATAAACATAAAATTTAAAATTTGTTTAAAAATTAAAATGAAACAAATATTACAAAAGTAACATGTCAAAACAAGCTTAGAAAATGTGTCAAAACAAGCTTAGAAAATCTATCAATGGAGGAAAAATAATTACAGAAGTAACAGAACAATGAATACAAAAATAACATGATTTTAATGAATACAAAATTCCAATCAAGATCATCCAAAATAGAATAATGAATACATTTTACAGAATAACAAAACAAAACCAAATAAAAAAAAACCCATCAAAACAAAACTAGTTTGCATAATCAAGTCAAATAGTCAATCAACACATGCTTATAAACATGATTTTAATCAAATTACTTGGTGTGACCTTATAAATCAACCAACACAGCAACAAAATTAACAATTTGTCTGTTTTTAGTAATTAACCAACAAAGCAACAAAATCAACACAGTAACAGGCTACAAACATGATTTTAATCAAATTACTTGGTGTGACCTTATAAATCAACCAACACAGCAACAAAATTAACAATTCGTCTGTTTTTAGTAATCAACCAACAAAGCAACAAAATCAACACAGCAACAGGCTACAAGGCTACAACAATAGAATCAACACAGCAACAGGCTACAACAATAGAATCAACACAACAACAACAACAACAGAATCAACACAAGTTTATAGTAACAGATATTGAAATTACATTTACAAAACAACAAAATAAACTGCAAAATTACATGTAAGATTCTGAAATTACATGTACAAGACAGCTCTAATCCTAAACTGCAAACAATTATAAGAAGTAAGAACAATAATTTTGATTAAAAAAATCATAATCCTAAACTGTAAACAATTGTAAGAAGTAAGAACAACAATTTTGATTAAAAATAATCATAATCCTAAACTGTTAAATCCCTTCTATTTAAACAAAGAAAAAAAATTCGCTTTAATCACCCAAATAGCTCTAAATTCTAATTTAAACCTAAACCAAAATTCATTACCTAACAAAATTGATTATAAATAACAATAAACTTAACTGTATAACTTAATTAGAAAGGAGAAAAAAATTAAAACTCACTGGTTTTGAGAGGCTGAGGTAATCAGGAAATGTCGGTTTGATAGAAACACCGAGTCACTGATAGTGTTGATCTAGTGGAGACTGAGGAAGAAACGTATAAACAATAAGCTTAACTGTATTAAAAATAACAATAACCTTAATTGAATTAATTAATTAGAAATGAGAAAACAAATTAACACTCACTGGTTTTGAGAGGTTGAGGAAACGTTGGTCTGATAGAAACACAAACTATTTTGGTCGAGTTGAGACT